ATATGTAATATATATATATATATATATATATATATAAGATGAGTATACACATTTTATGAATTTTGAGTGTTTCATTTATTTATACTGAATAGCGAACTAATGAGTTTTCTTTTCGTTGAAACTAAATATATGAAAGATCAACTTTGTTGTAAGATGTTGTGGTCATCACCAACTTTACGATGATTTAATTCTCTTTCAAAAGCTTGTAACAATAGTTTCGATAAATCTCAACTGAGTGCTCCACCTTTTCAAATAATCAATTCGTTCGGATAAAAGATTTCAGATGGTAATTTTTTTATATTCCTCGATCTCTGTTTAAAAATAAATGTGAAAAATTATATTTCACAATGTATCTTTTATTTACAATATAATCTTTTAACGAATAAAATTCCTAACAAAATAAATTTGCAATAAAGAAAAAAGTACATTGACTCTAGGGTTTTTAGGATCCCACAAGAGCCAAAAAAGTCAATCAAAACCTAAAAATAACTATAATAAATTGTTTGCTTTGAATTGAAGTCTCTAAATATATACTATAAGATTGAGATCTTGCCCTAGATTTATGAGATGTTGTTTCCCCAACTTTTAATATATCATCACTTTTATACTAAACTATACGCGTTAAATAACTTTTATTGCTAAATAATGAAATATCTCATGACTGAAATTTGAGGAGATCTAGAATATACATTGATCTTATATCTCATAAATTAAATATGTTGTCCATGTTTTAAAGTACATTGATTTTTCGAATTTCACAGCTGAATTATAATGCATGTTAGTTTTCTTAGCTACCTGAATTATTATCAACTATTTATCAAACAAATCAACTATCAGTTCTTTTCTTTTCTTAGATGATGATAATATACTTACGAAAACTAATAATTGAGGCGTGTTTTGATATAAAACACGTAATAGTTTAGATATAAAATTCAAAAAAACAAAATACTTTACATTTATATTATTAGATGTTATCTAATTAATTTATATTAATATAGACCTTCATATTTACATCCCTAGGAAAGACAAAGACCATCAAATCAAAATATCACTTCTATAAGACTATATGGTACCCTACTCTTTGACCACTTCATAGTTCATATTTTATATCATTAAATTGTCAATATCGTCATATGATACATTATTTTTACGCAAAAACATCATATTAATATTTTTATCGACTTAATTTACTTGGGAACAACTTTAGATATATGAGATTAAAGTTGTGAAAATTCATGTTTGAAGTTTGTGAAATTTTTGAATTAAAATATATTTATGTGAAATATGATCATAAGATTTTATACTGTATAACATATAATATAAAAGCACAATTAAATTAATGTAATTTTTTGATGAAAAGATATCAATTAACTTCTTTTTAAATCTTTTCGCGAATAGATGAATTTATTCTTTATTTTTGTTAGCCTCCATATATATATATATATATATATATTTTATGTATAACATTGATTATTCATCTGTTAGGTTATTTTTAGTGGAAGTGATTTAGTGAATGGTTATTTAAGTAAATTATATAATAAGGTTAAATGTAAAATAGTTTGTATAGAAGTGATTATTTGTTTAAGAAGATATGGGCCTCAGTGATTATTCAGATTCAGAAGCCCAAATTGTTTAAGCCCATTTGACTAGATAATGACTATAGTGGGCTCAAAACGGATCATTAACACTTTTGATTATTTTATGTCTCTCGTAATAAGTAATTTTTTTCGGGTATAATTTAATATTTTCGTATTATCAGTAATATTTATGATTCAAACACAACACACTAAATGCGTAAATATCCATTTTTAAATATCAAATAATATTATCAGTAATCACAGAATACGAACAGATAAGTTTGTTATTGAAAGTGGAGCTTGAGTTTCCACTAAGAAGTAAACATACGAATTATAAAGAATTCAAAGTAATTTAACATCTATTTAATGTATCTAAATATAATTTTAATCTTGTAAACATGTAATTTTTTTTTAATCTTGTAAACATGTAATTTTTCTACGAAGAGAATTTAGATGATTCCCCTATAGTATCCTAGCTTCGCCAATACCTATTATATATAGATAGATTTGACTGTATATAATAATGACCTAGTAAGTAATATATGATTGGATCTAAAACTCGAATATAAATTCAATATAATTCATTTTTTGCTCGAATTTATACTAAATTTTGAATTTAAAATTAGAATTCGTAAAGTTTAAATCTTGACTCGGACTTTTAGGCCATGCATCGGGAAAATAATAATGGTCCAAAGCTTGCAGGTATATATCTCTTATATAGCAGAGATACCAACCCAACACTATACTGCAAAAAATGTCACGTATTTATATTGAGTTCGGAGTCTAAAGGGTGAAAAATGTTAACAAAAATTTTAAAATGGTATATGAATTTTTTTTAATCAAAACAGCCAAAAAAAAATATTTTGGAGCAATTTTGTTTAACTTTTTTTTTAAAAAAAATATCAAATTTAATAAATTGCTACTATTGCAGCGATATTATTTTTTTCAGATTTTAATTTTACCGTTTTGATTAAAAAAAAATTCATATACCATTTTGAAATTTTTGTTAATATTTTCCACCCAATAAACTCTGGACTCATTGGTATTAATTAATTAGTAGTTTCATTTCATTAAAATACAACTGCAATTTCAGTAACCAATTTTTTAAAATAAAAAAATTGTGGCATTGAGTTGCGGACCATCTAAAATTTTGTCATTCATCACCATGCAAAATTAAATAACCAAAAAAATAAAATAAAGTATATAATATAGTAATAATTCATCTTGAAAATGTATAAAAAAAAACACAATAAAGAGAGACTATCTTTTGATTTCTGCAAATTAAGAAGCAAAAAGCTTTTTGCATGGTGTTTTATGTAAACTTCTTCAAAATCTAAAGGTATATATATAATTGTAACATTTTCAAATATTTACTCATGTTATGATTTTCTACATTTTTAATATTTTAATTTGATCCATCATTTTTGTTTATATTTTTCACGCAGCATCCAAACCGAATGACTTCATAAAATTAGAATTTCTATACTTCAATTTTCAATTTTGCGCATGTGCTATTTGCATTTTATTTAGGTTCGTATCGATTTGTCTTTTGAATTATATTAAAATTGAGTCTAAAAAATAGGTACATCGTGTGATCACTTAAGCTTAATCTTTATAATGTTTTTCACTTTTTTCTCCCAATTCGAAATGGGATTCACCTAAGGTCTCACATGCACCTCGTTTTTCAAAAACTCACAAATCTAAAAGCCTCCCACCCTTTGTATGATTGTCATATACAACCTCTTAAGGACTCAACATTCCTGTTTGAGATTTGTCTCACATCGTACTGGCTCTCACACTATATATATCACAGTTTAAATCTATACCATATATTGTCCACTTTTGACCTATTATCAAAAGAAATGTGAATACTCTTAGTTAAGGTATGAAATTTATTAAATTCTTAATAATAATCATATTTATATTAATATTTTCTTACTTTTGTAGTATAATATTAATGGGGTCAACAATGTATGAAACATCACAATATCACAAGAAGACTTGTACTAAACAAATTGATACATCATTTGGGAATATGTTATTATTTGGTGCTGGCTCTGATCTTATAAAAAATGAACTTGGTGCTTATGGAGAAAAAGTTTTAGGTTCAAGTTCTGCGTATGTTCAAAGCAATGTAAGTATACCTTTTCTTTTTTTTGGAAAGAAATAAAAATAATATATAATTAATAGTTTTTTTTTCGCTTTTCATTCGGTGTTAGTTGTGTTGGAGCTCCGATTGAATTTAAGTTGCGCATTGCAGGGTCTATTCGGAGGTGGTGCTCCCAATAACTTTTTTTTCTATATCTGGGGCTCTAACCTAACTCCTCTGATTAAGGGTGCAACAGTTCCGTCACTACACCACGATCCATATTGATTAATTTATAGTGCATTTGGTCTACCTGTCAAAATTAATTATAATGATGTTATTTGTCCGCATGTTTTTGATTGCGCTGGTGAGATGTTATTATAAAGAGTATATAATATAATACAATATGAAAGTCAAATTCGATTGTTATAGTAAAATATTTTTTGAGGAGATAAACTATTCTAGATAGATCCGATTGCACTGTACTTTTTTGAAGTATTATTTTGAAAAGTATTTTGAAATTATTACTAATTTTAATTTTTGACCTTTTGCAAATTTGACAAATATTTTTAATTCTTGCAAATTATTACTAATTTTAATTTCTTTACTACTTACAGATTGGGAGATACATTTCCAATCCTCAGTACTATTTTCAAGTGAATGAAAGTTATGTGAAAAATAAATTAAAGGTGATTTTGTTCCCATTTCTTCACAAGGTAAAGTCCACAACATTTTGTATTTTAATTCATTTACTTAAATTTAAATATATATATTGACAGTATAAATAATATTTACATAATTATGTTAGTGTAATTACATGTGATTTCTATGATATATAAACATTAGTAATTAATAACTTGATAAAAATTGTAATTTAATTACTAAGCCTACTATTATAGGTTTAACAATACTGATAGTATATTAAAACAAAAAGGTGTTTTTTTATCGCTATAATAAAAGAGACATCTAGTGGCAATGCAAGTTTTTTTACAATAACATTTGACGATAATTAAGTTAATGTCATTATATTCAGAATTACTAAAACCTTTAACAACATTTATATAGGATGTCGATAATAAATACAACAATTATATCTTTTTTTATTTAATTCAATATATGAATGATTTTTTTAATATATAAATATGTTTTTAGGGACATTGGATGAGAACTGGACATATGGCTAGAGGAGAATTTTCATTTAAACCACCAATTTATGATATAAATGCACCTGATTTGTATATCCCTATGATGGCTTTTGGTACTTATTTGGTTCTTGCTGGCTATTTTTTGGGCATTACTACCAAGTAAGTTTCTTAAAATGAATATCCATCTTTATATATGATTATTATTAGGTCAGTTGGTCGGCTATCGAGAAGCTAAGTTTCATTTTTGGCTTTAATAAGAATGTGAGTCTGTTCATTTATACTACCCTGTATATGCTCTATCAACGTTCTAAAATATTGTCTGTATACTGACATTTCAATGGATGAAGTTATATATCGATAAAATACTGTTCACAATGTCAATGCGGTTGAATTTGTGATAGTATATCATATTGACCAATTAGTACCACTTATCGTATAAATTTACGTGTAATTATTTTTGAAAATGACTTAAATATATGTTCTTAACACGATCATCAGTATATAGAACTTAAACTCTGTATAATTTTTCATTATAGGTTTAGTCCAGAAGCATTAGGTGTGCAATTCACAACAGGACTACTTTGTTGGCTCTTGCAAATCCTCTTACTTGAAGCCACATTACACTCTTTAGGAAGTGGAGAAGTGCCACTTCTTGATATTGTTGCTTATAGTGGCTATATTTTTGTGAATGCATCAATTATATTGCTATGTAGGGTAATTTGGGATTATGCATTTTATATTGTAACAATTTTTGAATGTTTTTGTGTGGGGGTATTCTTGATAAAGACCATGAAGAGGATTTTAATTGGTGAAGTAAGAACCTTTGAGAAGCATTCAACAAAGAGGAATTACCTTTTGCTTCTCATGGCTTTGTCTCAAATTCCCTTGCTTTTTTGGTTGGGAAATGTTGGTGTTGGAGCTAAGTGAGTGCACTCCGAGGCACAGAGTCAGAATTTGATATTTAAGAATTCGAGGCACAGAGTCAAAAATTTAAAATTTAAGGATTCTATACTACGAGTTCTGTTAGTCAAATAGAATTGTCCCATCATAATTAGTATTAATTAATTAACAAATTCTCAACGTTGTATTGAGGGAATAGTTTTATCTCAATCAAGAGTTTTGTTAAATATTAAGCTTTATATATGAAAATATTGGGAAAATATCACAATTTTAATGTTGATTACAATGTGCCAAATAGTAATATTTAGCGATATGTTATATTTTGTTTCGTATGAATCTCTATTTTTAAAAATATTTTAATATTAATCGATGAGAATTTGACATTGGAAATTATAATTCTCTCTTTTTCTTGATATGGTATGTAATAATTCTCAATATTTCGAAAAACTATTGCTGATATTATATACTATAAATAGATTTCTCTAGTATAAAAGTCAAAAGAATATTGAGAAAATAATTAAACTATATTTGAAACAAATTGAAATTGAATTTAAAAATACTCACTTTATTTCTTTTTAGTAGTAATAAGGTAAGGTTTCATACTATCCTTAAAAGAAAAAATTAATTAGAAGTATAATTTGACTATTATATCCCTTATTAATCTTTAATTTTTATTTATTTACGTGCCTCTTAATGGTAGAATATTCAATGCTAAAGGGCAAAATTGGAAAAAGTTAATTAATCCTGTCTTGCTTATTTAAATTAATAACAAAAGGGTGGGGTCATTACTTAATGAATTTAATTAATGATTTTTTTATGAGATTTTTTCCAAAATGGCAAAATTATACGCCATATCAATTCTTAATCACTATAAATATCTATGAAAAATGTATTTTAGTTAACCACTTCAAAATTATTTTTCAACAAAAAAACATTGAGATAATAATGGTCATCACTAAGCAATTGATTTTCCTCACTTTACTTATTTTTGTCTTCTTCCCTAATCATGAATGTAAGTATGATTAAGAAAATTCATTCTTCATTATATTTCTAATTTTGAATTAGTTATAAACCTTATCGTTAAATTTTTAGTTGCTAACATGTTTATCTATGAAACAAAATTTGTTCGATGATAATTTCAATCTTTGTATAATTGTAGTTTGCTTTATATTATAAAGCAAATAAAATTAATACTTATTTTTTTGCTTGGTATCTAATATTTATATTAGGACTTTAACTTATCCGAATACGGTTGCGTAAGGTCAATTAAAGAAAAAAATTATTTCCAACTAAGACTTATAGTCATATCTAGGCATATGCAGATTCAAATGAATCCCTTTTATCGAACAATTATACTGTGTATATAGGATTTAGATCTCTTATTACAATAAATAGTAGATGTTGGAGGTTCTTGATTTATTATTTTTTACTCTTTATAGTTTTTTAATGATCTTTGTTAAATCATATTCAAAATTTAGTAGATAGATAGTATCCTTTCCACAACAATCCTTATAGTAAAGAAAATGAAAAATTTACTCTGATTTAATTATGTTAGATTTTTTTCTTTCATCTTAATAATTATTTATATTTATTTATTTTTTATCTTTTTAAAAAAAATATTATTTAAAAAATAATTAGGTGAAGATCAAGTGATTGATACATTGAGTATAGTGTTGTGATACAAGTTTAGACCCTTTATTTTGTTATGATTCAATGGATGAATGTTCACATAAATGTCCCTATTGGCCTCCTTCTCTTAATTAGTAGTAATTAATTAACAAATCCTCTTCTTAAGAGTTCTGTTAAACATTTTTTATCCGCATAGAGTGTTTATATCAAGTAAATGAGTATTTATTATTAGGTGATTTAATGAAGTAAAATGAACTATCAATTTAAAACATAGCATGCAATAACGATATTTCATTTTATTGTGTATATTACTACTCTATCTACATCTCATTTCACAAACATATACATGTTTTATCATGTTGCGCTTTTAACTTATCTATTTTATCCTTTATTAATTTTTCTATTTATCTATTTTTTCTCTCATGTTAATAATCATTTGTGTTTTTTTTTTTAAATATAGGTGAAGAAGTGATTAATAAATTGAGTATTATTAAAGATAGGAGACTTATTAGTCTTGGCAAGTGTATCCCGGTACATTCTAAATGGTGTTGTGATACACGTTTAGACCCTTTATTTTGTTATAATACAATGGATGAATGTTCACATAAATGTCCCTATTGGCCTCCTTCTCATAATTAGTAGTAATTAATTAACAAATCCTCTTCTTTAAGAGTTTTGTTAAACATTTTATGAATCTTAATATATGAAAATTATTACAATATTAATTACATGATACAACATGGATACATTATTTGTACCTATGATTGTCAAAAATGAGACATCATCTGGCTTAATTGATTTTAAAAAGTTATTAACTACACATTGTTTAGATGTGCATGGTTATTGCATATGGAAATTACCACGTATTATATTGTTTTGATGAATACTGTATTTGAAAGAAGCGTTTTGCAGTTCAACGTTGTATGCTTATGATTAACGGGTGTTGATACCTCAATTTTGATTTATTTTTCTCTATGATTATGTTCTCAAACGATGGTACAAATTTATTTATATTAGTGATTAAAAAATTGTCAATAAAGAAAATGATCATGTGAGAATGATTAAATATATCTTTGAATTATTCCGAGAAAAAATCAAATATACCCATAAAGTTTGTGAGAAAATATATATTCAAACAATATTGACTGATTAAGATTTCTTGAAAATGAATTTGTAAAACATTATTATTATATTTACTTGAATATGTAACACACAAAAATAATTTTCACAAAATAACTTGAGAAAATGATGGCCATTGCTAAGCACTTGATTTTCTTTTACTTTGCTTGTTTTTGTTATCTTTCTCTCTTATGAATATATTAAGTATATGATTTTTGAATATTTATTCTTCATTTTATTTACGAGATAAAACTAAATTTTCTTTTCAATTTTTTACTCGATGTTTAATATTAATATTAGACTAAAATAGTGGCTTAAGTAAAATTAGCAATTATTTTATTAAGAGTTATTTTCTGATAAGTTATTTCACAGTTTTAGGTTTCGATATACCAAATTATCAGAAAAGAATGATAATTTACTTTCGCACAAATATCTATATTTTATTATAGTTATTTTAATTAACATTAATTAGAATTTACAGAGTAGGTAGTATTTGTAGTACAATGAATTAGATAATTTACTATCGGACAAATACATTTATATAACTTATTTTAGATAAATGATTTACTACTACATGAAGATATATAAATTATTTAAATTATGAATTTTAAATTAGTTTAATTAAAACCATTTAAATTTTATAATATTTTAAATATTTAATTACAATTAATGAGATGATCCACCAACTTATTCTAAATATACCATATACAGACAAACATAATTATTATTATAAGTAGAGATTGTAAAAAGGTTTAGCAAAGTAAATATATTTTATTAGTCAAACAATATATTCATGGTGTCAAAATCTAATTATATCTAAAATAATCATTTAAAAAAAAATTGAAGTGGTGAAAAATGATTTTCCACTATAAATATCAATAGAAATTGTGTTTTATATCCAACCATTCCAAAGTAAATTTCACTAAAAACTCAAAATTACTTTGAGAAAATAATGGCTATCACTAATCACTTGATTTCTTCACTTTGCTTGTTTTTATCATCTTCCCTTCTTATGAATGTAAGTATGATTCAAAAATATTTATTCTTTATTTTTCTCTTCTACTGTACAAGATAGAATTATTATTTTTTCTACATAATTTTTTATTTGGAATTTGATAAAATTTAAATTTACGAACTACGTCATGTAAGAGTCCCATTAGAGGGAAAATTGTTGCCTATTGTTTTTTTTTTCAAATCCATGCACGAACGAATCTAGGGTACTTACACTATATATACAAGATCAAAATTATTGTTATATATAGTAGTTTTATAGTTTTTTAATAGGCGTCTTCAAAAAAAATTTAATCTTTAATCACGGTCTCTGTTGTTAATAACATAAGGCTCGAACCTAAATGAATGGTTCTTATACATCCTATCATGAATGTAAGTATGACAATTTTTACTTCATATTTCTCCTTTACCCTACAAAGTAGTTTATCTCTCTAGTTTTCATCTGATATTCGATATCAATAACAACGTAAAAAAATTAATCTTTATTTTTACTTTACATTTTCGTTGATATTAAATCCTCTTTGATGAAAAATCATGACTCTATCGCTGATAATTCATAATTCAAATTTAAAGCCTTGAATTAAGCTGAAGAGATCATAACTCTTTTTTATATGTATATAATATATATATCTGTCGACTATTCATATCGATTTTCCTTTTTTATAGGTGTCAAAGGAAACAGTAGCTTGAGTCCCATGGGTGAGAAAACATATACACTTGTGGCATGTACAGTAAATCTTGGTCTATGTGAGCCAAGATGCAATAAAGAATGTTGCTATAAGACATGTAGAGAGTTCTATGCTCATAAAGCCCCTCAGCCAGCTTGTAAGGATATGGGTGGGCCATTAAAAACTTGCCTTTGTACTTATTATTGTGAAGAATCTTGTCCGTGTTAAACATATAGTCGTATTAAAGATTTAATATTGATAAAAGTTGAAAATGATATAATATGTTTTATATAAAAAGATAATGGTTACACATGATTAAATCACATATAAATTCAAAATCTATTAATTGTTGCGTATTGTATAGTTGTTACATGTGTACATTATATATATTCATATGAATGTTATGTACGATAATATATTTATTTATATATAATCTAAAGAAGACTGAGAAAATAATTATACTTCGAAAACATAATTGTGTAAAATGTGATGGGCTTCCAATACTATGAAAAAACAACGAAAATTACATGAATAAATACATTTTTAAAAATAATTACTAATTTTAACGATATTTTTTGTTTATTACCATTTATAATAATATTGTGATAAATCTGTAGTATGTATCAAAAGTGAATTATGTATGCAATATATTTGAATTATAATTATTTTTGAAATTATATTATGTTTGTTTGGTAAAAAATTGTCACATTGTATTATAAGTGTATTAAAACATGTGATAAATGTATTATATTTGAATAATAAATTTATCTTTGTAATATGTATTAAACTTGCATTATAAATGCATTAAAAGTAGTCAAGTGAAAAAAAATGTTATTGCTATAAATGATAAATATTTTTTTATTATAATATATTTATGTAAGTTTTCTAAAAAAACAATAAAATTATATTTTATATTTTAACAAAAAAATATCAAATTAAGTGTGTCTTGCGTCAAAATATATAAACTAGAAATATATGATGCAGATGTGGAAGAAATGAATTTGAAATTAAAATTAAAATTAAAATTTAGATATATGGAAACAAAACAGAAAACACCTATACTAATATTTACTCAGTTACATTAGAGGGATCGTAAAGATATTATAAAATGATAAGACAAATGATATCTTATTAGTATTGTCATTGTTGAGAGATGAAAAATATTAATTTTGAGAAAAAAAAATACTTTTTTGAATTATTAAGGTATTTGGTTAATCAGTGAAATTATTTTTTAAATAGATATAGAAACAAGTCTTTCTGCATCTGAAAAACTAAAAGATTTATGCAATATATTTGCGAGCGCGAGCTGCCTGCTTGAGCTATCTGGAAGTTATTGTTGGATTGCAAGCTAGTAAATTTTAGGTTTAGCAAACATAAAAATCATATTCGAATGTTATAGTTATAGTTCATATAATTACGCTTCACTGAAAATTTTATGTTTGTTGTGAAGCATCAGATTTGTTAAATAGCAGGCAAATATTTCGTTTGTATAAAAGCGTATTGATTGTATATGTATATCGGTTATATAATTGTATATAGGTAACTACTATGTATATGTATCTATGATTGTATTTGTATATCTGCATAGAATTTGATGTTTGTATATCAGATCTCTTTCTCGTTTTATACAAACACAAATTATGTTGAATTTTTACAATTTTTGTTTGTATAAAGCGAGAGAGAAGGGAAGAATTGGGCAGGGGAAGATTTGTATTAGTATAATTACAAGTGTATAAGACAGAGAGATATGTATTTGTGTTTTGTATTTTTATAGTTATAAGTGTATAGGATGGAGAGATATGTAGTTGTATATTCGGTCTCTCTCATTTTATATAGAAACAAACATAAGCTATAAATTTGTGTTTGTATAAAGTGAGAGAGATTGGCAAAAGAGAAATGAGAGAGAGGTGAGACAGATAATTGAAAAAGAGAAGATAGGCGAGCGACGTAAGATTGGCGAAAGAAAGGAATAGAGGATAGAGGCGAGAGAGAGTCCTTTCTACGAAATATGGGGTGTTACAATTTTATATTCCAATTTAGTGTTACGTCTGGAGTCTGGGTTGGATCACGGATTGGGCTCGAGTTTTGTGTCAGGGTCATATCTTGATTAGGGTAGGGTATATTCCCAAGTTGGGATCGGGTTTCGACTTAAGGTTAGATTCCAAATCGCATGTCTTATGTCTCGGGTCGGTATGGTTAGGAGTAGGTTCGAAGGGCTCGAGCTTCGATAGATAGTAAGGGAGGATGGGATGGAGTGGAGGAAGGTGGATCATTCAAAATAAAAAATGACTCAAGTTTGACGGGTTATGACACAATCGATTTTAATCCAAGTAACTTTTGGTTTTAGTTCAGTTTATTTATTAATTCAATTTATTTGAACTTGTCCAGTTTCAATCCAACACGTCCATTTGAAACTCATGTATATCTACTTTGTAACTTAACTGTTTGATTAAGTTGCATGCTTGAGTTTCTTTTAAGTTGTTTGCTTGAGCTGTTTGATTGCAAACTTATCTAAGACTATATATTTAAATGAATAATCACATTATAATGTATTTTTATACTCCCTCCGTGCGAAAATGTTTGTCATGTTGCGTTTATCGAAAGTCAATTTGATTAATTTTTAAAAGTAAGTTAGATCACATTAATTCGATATTTTAAACAAAAAAAATTAGATATTTTAAAACTATATGAAAAGTACTATAAAGTACAATTTTTTGCATATCAATATGATGAAAAAATGCATCTCAAAATGTTAGTCAAAGTTTTTATAGTTTGACTCTGAAAATAAAAATCATGATAAACAATACCGGACGGAGGAAGTAATAAATATAATATAACACAAATATATTAAATGAAATATGATAGAAATGGCACATATCCTAATAATTACTCATTTACTATGCAGGATTGTAATTAATTTGAGAAAGGAAGAGTAATCTTTAGTGAGTAACAGACATAAAACTGATTTTGACTAGCAATTAAAATTTATTAATTGATTTAAGAAAAAATCAATGTAAGAATTACATTGATCTTTAATTTCAAAAGGCAATAATGATTTCAACCCACTATAAATATCAACAGAAAATGTGTCTATTTAACCAAAAGAACTCAAAATTACTTGAGGAAATGTTGTTCATCACTAAGCAATTGATTTCCTTCACTCTACTTCTTTTTGTCATCTTCCCTTCAAATGAATGTAAGTATTAGTAATTTTTATGTATTATATATATATTTCAAATCTCTTTGATGAAAAATCATGATAACTCAGAATTCAAATCTGAAAACATTTGATTGAGCGTGAAGAGATCATATATATCCATCTACTATACTCTTGTTACGAATAAAATAAAAGTAACTCTTTTTTGTATGCATGTGTATTATATATCTGTCGATTATTTATATCATTTTTCCCCTTTTGTAGGTGTCAAAGGAAATAACAACTTGAGTCCTATGAGTAAAAAGATAGAATTAGATAAGAATTGTACAACAACTCTTGGTCCATGTACCTCAATATGCAATGCAAGATGTTGCCATAGGTTATGTGACTTATACCTTGGTAGTAGAACACACCATGCATTGGGAATTTGCAAGTATTATAGTAGTTCCAAATATAAGACTTGTGTTTGTACTTATGATTGTACATCCAAATGATGTCAATTGGTTTCATTTGATTCAAAAGAAATATTAATTACCCTTGTTTGAATGTCCACATTGTTATGTATCGCTTTATAACGTATCACATTGTACTGTGTACTGATGAATAACATATTTTAAAGAAGTGTCATGTCATGGCACAACTGATTTTTAATGCTAACATATAAAAAAAACTTTTGAAAAAATCATTATTATTTTTAGGATAATGCCCAAATACCCCCTCAACCTATGACAGAAATCTTAGAGACATACTTATACTATACTAAGGTCCTATTACCCCCCTGAACTTATTTTATTAATAATTTTTACCCCTTTTTAGCTTACGTGGCACTATCTTGTGGGTCCAACGATGGTTGACTTTTTTTTTCAAACTAGTGCCACGTAGGCTAAAAAGGGGTAGAAAATACATATAAAATAAGTTCAGGGGGTAATAGGACCTTAGTATAGTATAAGTGTGTCTCTGGGATTTCGAGCGTAGGTTGAGGGGGTACTTGGATATTTTCCCATTATTTTTTTACTTTATATTTCCCTTTTACTTTACAAATTTGTTTTCATAGGTTTTCGCCCAATGTTCAATAGCAATAATAACTTTAAAAAATCACTCTTCATTTTTATTTTATATTTTCATAGATATTGAATCGTCTTGGGTTCTTTGTATTATATTCTTAACTTTTAAGTTAAAATTCTGACTCTATTACTGATAACTCAGAATTCAAATATGTATTAATTTAGGATAATTAAAGGGATCATATCCACCCTATTATAAAATTTGATAGTAAATAAAATTAAAATAACTCTTTTTTTTACATATATTATACATCTATCGACTATTCATATCAATTTTTGGCCCCTTTTGTAGGTGTCATGAGAGAATGTAACATATTGCCAAGAGACATGCACAATTTACTGTTACACCAGTATATAATATAATTTATTATAATTATTTTAGTTAACATTATTAAGAATTTACAATGTAGATAGTATTGTTTTTCTATCACACAAATATATATAAATTATTTTAAATTATAAATTATAAATTAGTTTAATCAAAATCACTTAAAATTTATATTATTATAATATTAATAAATATTTAATGAAAATTAATGAGATGATTCACCGTCACATACACATAATTTATTTTAAATATACCATATATAGACAAACATAATTATATTATATAAATAGAGATTGTAAAAAGATTTAGTTAAAGTCAATACATTTTATTAGTCAAACAATAAAGTTGTGGTGTCAAAAATCTAATTGTATTTAAAATAATCATTTTAAGAAAAAAGTTTAACTTTATTCCAAAGGTGAAAAATGATTTTCCACTATAAATATCAATAGAAAATGTGTTTTATATTCAACCACTCCAAAGTAAATTTCACTAAAAAATCAAAATTACTTTGAGAAAATAATGGCTATCACTAATCATTTGATTTTCTTCACTTTGCTTATTTTTATCATCTTCCCTTCTTATGAATGTAAGTATAATTCAAAAATACTTATTCTTTTATTTTTCTCTTTTACTTTACGAGATAGAATTATTACTTTTTTTATATGATTTTTTATTCGGAGTTTGATAAAATTCAGATTTACGAACTACGCATATAAGAGTAAGGATGAAATTGTTGCATATTATTTTTTTTTTAAATCCAAGCACGAACAAATCTAGACTGCTTACACTATATATACAAGATCAAAATTATTATTATTATATATAGTAGATGTAGAGTTTTCTAATATGCTTCTTCATAAATTATTTTTTTTTATCTTTAATTACTGACTCCGTTGTTAATAACCTAAGACTCGAACCTGAAACGGGACGATTCTTATCCATCATGTTATAATCTTTAGTAATATATAAAATTTAGAACTAATTCATATTTACTTAGGTTGACTTTTTTTTTTAAAAAAAAAAATCTCTCATTGTAATAATCTTTTTTTTTTTAATTTTTATCATATATTTTTATGAAGGTGAAGAAGTAATTAATGAAGATGGGATACTTTTGGCTCCTGGATGGTGTTTGAAGAGCCCAATAAAAGCAGGAGATTGGTGTTGTTGGACAACTTACAATTGTTATGATAATTATGAAACATGTAGACATAAATGTCCACCTTATCCTCCTCAAAATTAATTAATTTTAAACATCTAAAAATATAAAATTATTACAATATTATTTCCATTATACAACATGAATATTTCATTTTATCAATGTTTATACATGGTTCTGGACAATTTCATATGAATCTCTTTGTGATAAGTTCTCGTCAATTTTAAATTCTGAATAATATTGAGTGAATCTTTTTGTGCCATGATCATATTTTTGTGTATCACAATATATACTATAAAAACATAATTAAATTTTATTTATTATTTGACAAAAAACATCAAATTAAATGTGTCTTACAACAAAATATCACAATATAAAATTTGAAATTAAAATTAAAATTTAGATATATGGAAACATGAAAGAAAGCACCTATAATAATATTTATTCAGTTACATTAGAGATTAAAAAATGATTTAGTCAAATGACATTGTCATTGACAGGTTAAAAATATTTTGAATTATCAAGGTATTTGTCTAATCAGTAAAATTATTTTCAAATAGAAATAGATATAATTTTTTTTGCAAAAATAAAAAAAATTATGTTTTTTAAGAAAAAAAAATAGAATATTATTTTCTCAAGAAAAAAATATCCTAACCATATATATAGTTTTACCAATATATTTCTTATATATTTTTTGTGGTGAATTGTTCGTATGTAATGATTTAATTTGTCCGATAATTTGTAAGTTTATTTTGCTTGATAATCATATATCATATCAATATTAAATTTATTTTCTTATTTATCTATGTTATTATAGATTGAAAATTTTAATATATATTAATTCGATAAAGATAAAAATAATAATAATAAAGACTTAAAATAGATATTTAAAATAATTTTTCTCCATAAAATAATTTTAATAGTAAATGTACACTAATATTTATTTTTTTTCGTAATTTACCTCTAAAAACTTTTTAAAGAAAATTAGTTAAACACTATATGATTATTAAAATACTTTTCATGTGATTAAGTCGACCGCAATTTTTTTTCTTTTTCCAAAAATACTTTTCTGAAAAGTTATTTTTTAAAAAAAAATCTAAAAATAAACAAGTTGTTGATTCATTGTACCTATTTTGTTTGATTGCATAAGTTATGTTTTAAGAAAATTAGTTAAAGTATATTGTTAAAAATACTTTTCAAATAATCAAGTTAACCACAATTTTTTTTCAAAGTAAAATTTCATTGATTAACCTCGGATTTGATGAAGGAAAGATCAGATTACCCAAAAAATGACATTGTTTATACAATATTAAAATTTATTATTTTTAAAAATTACATTGTACGTATACTATCTTTCAACTTGTGAGATAAAAAGAATGTTTCCGAATTTCAATAGACTTGAATTATATATAATCGGATTCAATGAAAGTTTTCTATACTAAGCAACGTGTCTAAAATCCTTAATCACTTTTTTTTATGATGGTTCTGCAACACGTTTGGAACAAAATAAAAATATCTTCATTTTGAAATTCCATTGGACTCGACTGGAGTAATGTATTATAGGAATCAGCCTATTATTATAAATCCGTTGTAGTCTAGTTGGTTAGGATACTCGGCTCTCACCCGAGAGACCCGGGTTCAAGTCCCGGCAACGGAACTATATTTTTTTCATTTGATAATATTTTCTTCCCGTCCCTTTTATGTGTCGTACTTTTCTTTTTAGCATGTTCCTGAAAAAAAAAGTAATACTTTCTTGTTTGAAAACAATTTGAAAAGATAGGGACGGTAAGAAAGTACTTCCTCCGTTCCTACTTAGTTGTCACAATTTTAAATTTCATGCTCGTTTTTCTATTCAGTTGTCACAATTTTAGGTTTTACACCCCTTAAGAAACAAAGCAAGCTTACAATTATACCCTTACGTTCTATTAAAGTCAAATTTTTAATAAATGAACATGATTAAATTAATCAATGAACATAAATGAATTATCTAGTTTTTCTATGTCAAGGTTAATAATTCTTAAAAGGTAAAATAGAAAGAATAATTTCATTTATCGTTTATGTATTAGTTTTGTGAAATGACAAGTATTAGGAACCGATACATAAATAAAAAATACATCTTGATATAATGTTGCATGTCTATATATAGAAAAATAGTGAAATGGCAACAAAGTTTATTTTCTTTGCTACCTTCTACATGTACATAGTTTCAACCTAAATATGTTACCGCACCCGTGTCTGATCCTCGAAAAAATGTACTACTTTTTGGTGGATCCGCCACGCCTCTCCACAACACTTGGGAAGAGTCCGAGCAACATAGGTTTCAACTTCATTTCAACAGAACCAGCTAGTACATATAATACATAAACTTTGTGTTCTTCAATCCTTTTATCAATGGAGGAAAACACGAAAACTAAGAGAGAGTTCTCGAGGCTTCCTTTTTCGCGGGAGTATAGCTACCGTAGATATAAGAGCCAAATCCCCAGAATGTAATAATCAAAGACAGGATCTTGAAACCACTCATAGGATCATGCAACAATATCACAGCAGCAATGCTAGTGATCGGTACTCTTACAGCGTTAAGGACACCAGCCAAGACAGTGGATGAGAGGAACACAACTGCGGTGGCTCCCAACACTCCCAACTGGAAAGTGATAGTCCCCCAAACGATAACTGAGTAATACGCGTTTTCCCCACCCTTGAATGTACTTGCCTCGGATTTCATCCCATGGAAACCGTTGCTCATAACCAGTCCGATTGTTGTGAATATAAACGCAAAGAGGGAAACCATGAGTTGCTGCTCAAGAACAACAAGGAAAGACCTTTTACCAAGTAATTTCACAAAAATCAACTCTGATAAGGCGAAAATCAGACCGTGGAGTGCAGATCCCAGTATATCCCACACAAAACCAATAATGTACTGACGATCGGTGATGTATCCATACCTGTCTGAACTTGAATCAAGAGCAATGATCGTCATGGCAGCAGTGATGATCACGATAGAATTTATGATTGATAGATTCATAGTGTTTTTCACGAGAACATATCCGAATAATGCAGAGAACACCAGTGAAGTCGAGGCTAAAAGAGCAGCGGTTGATGCTGGTAGATAGGCATAGGCATATGCATACATGAGGTTGTCAGCAGCACTCAAGAATCCCAAGACAATATAAGATAAAGTTAGTTTTAAGTCGAGTGGCGTCGGGAACACTTTAAGAAAGAAGTACGAAGGGATTAGGACTATCGCGATCATAGGCCATCCTGCAACTGAAACCCATGAAATTATCCACTTGCTCTTCCCACCATTTGCAAAATATAAACGGGACAAGAGGCTAGAAGCAGGGAACGGAACAAGCATCCCCATGCTACTTAGAAACAGAAGAATCCAATGTGAAATCGGCTTGTTGTAATACATTTCACAAAGCATCGTCCAGTAGGCCGAGATATATTGCCATAATGACTTTGATGGCGGTGCTTCATCCATTATTTCCTCTACAAGAAGTCAGTCATCATAGATAAATGTCAATTTTCAAAAACGACATGAGGAAAGAGAAATTTGATCGGATAAAGGAATCAAAGAATGACTCATAAGTAGCAACAACAACATCAGCATAACCAGTATAATCCCACAGTCTAGGGAGGGTAGTGTGTATTGTGTATGTTTTCTGCAGACCCTCAGCTCAAGTAAAAGCAATTTCAAAAAAACGAGGGAGAAGAAGCAACGACTCATTAATAGCATTCAATATAGAAGAGTAACATAAACATGGAGTAAGTAAAGCAACCATACGATCAGAAAATGCTTCATAAAAGGTCGTAGCAAACAGGCTTGAACCTTGCAGTACCTACTGATGAACTCCCTTAGCTTCTTCGGTACATAACTACCTTATGATCTATGCATAAATCGCAATTTATACAAATAATCTCCGTAAAGGGTGAGGATATGCAAATGAATAACCACTAAAAAATTAAGGACTTGACTTAACACTAAGAAGATAACTATAGCAATCTCAACTAATGTGAAACTCAATACATGCTCTTAGCATATTAGACATCTATCCTCAGGGACGGAGCTAGAGTGTAGCTTATGTGTTTTCGAAACAAATAACTTTGATTCAAACTCTTGAATATACACAAACCATTCATTTTAAAACCAATAACTTAAAAGAACTAGAATCCCGAACTCAATCTTACTCTCCATTTAGAAAGTGGTCCTTAACCTATCCATATAGTCATGTCATTTGTCAAATGAGGACTGGGATCTGATTATTTCACAACTAAATTCTTACTCTCTTATCTGCACAAGACACGAGATAGTGATAAGGCCTACATAACTCCTATCTGCACAAGACACGAGATAGTGATAAGGCCTACGTAACTCCTATCTGCACAAGACACGAGATAGTGATAAGGCTACGTAACTCCTATCTGCACAAGACACGAGATAGTGATAAGGCCTACGTAACTCCTATGTGCACAAGACACGAGATAGTGATAAGGCCTACGTAACTCCTATGTGCACAAGACACGAGATAGCGATAAGGCCTACGTAACTCCTACCTCACTGAATATGTTGTTATACACTACACAAGTACTATCTTTCAACACACAAGAAAAAACACCCAAGTGCTAAAAATCAAAACTTGAATTCACAATTTTCAAGAACCATGAAAGGATTTACAAAAACTAAGAATACCCACAAAGCATAAAAAGCTGAAACTTTCAACAAGTAGAGTCATTCAACACACAAGATAAAAAACACCCAAGTGATAAAAATCAAAACTTTAATTCACAATTTTCAAGAACCATGAAAAAAAAAAACAATCATCTTGACAAATCTAACATACCCACAAACCCCAAAACCTGAAAAAAAATTGAAATTTTCACATATTATACTGACCTGGAACAGAAATAAGCAATGATTGTTGCATGAACCCAAGAATTCAGGGGACAGTGAAAGAAGTTGAGAGTAGAGATACCAAAACTAATCGGGTCGGGTCAAAGAAAATTCCGGGTCTGCTCAAATTTGAACTGGGTTTCTTGAGATTATAACCATTGAAGCAGATGACAAAAAAATTATATATCTAAATAGAACAGCAAATCTATGGTCCACAAATCAAAATCAAGATTTCAATGATTAGATGAAATCTTTTGGTTTAGGTGGAAAAAAAATACTAATTGGCTTTTAATACATAGTGAAAGTTTGCGAATAATTTATTTAGACGCTTGAATTAAGTTTGATTTTTTTTTAATGTATTTTTTAGTTTATTAAATAGTTAACTTAGTTATATAATCTTTTTATTTTTTTTTAGATATATGCATTCGCCTCAATAAATAGCAAAATTTCAGATTTATATAACTAAAGGAGATAGATGATTGAAAATGTGTGTAAATTTTTTTTCGAAATTTGAATCAAATGTGTCTTATTAAATACTTTATTTGGAGGAATTGAAACCTGATTTAATCTGATTGTTCAAATGAAATATGTATTAAGCCAAGATAATTATATTTCTGTATACGAAAAGTATACATTAATTATGTATAATATAAAAATTTGTAAATTCTAACTGAGATATACATATCGTGACTATTTTTTTTTATGGATGAAAACACGATTCTAGATAAGAAATTGTGAAGGATATAATTTAAGATAAAAGGTTTATATGTCGTCATATGTTTTCTCTGTTACCCTTCCATACTAGTACTCATGTAGTTTCTTGCTATTTGGGTTCGATTATTATATATTTTGATTGTCATGTTATTTTATTATAATTATTGTTCAGACTGATTTGTTATATTTTATCATATTTTCTTTACTTTCATTGTTTTTTGTTTTAATTACTTTAAAAGTTTAGATTGTTTTTTTTCCAGTGAATTGAGGATTTATTAAAAATAATTTTAGGTAATTTTACAAAAATAATATTAAATTTTATTTATTAAACTCATTTACATACCTATGCTTAATAAAGCAAATCAAAGAATATGATACTCATATGACATGTCATTTGACAAAGGGAACTGATTATTATTATTTTAATAAGTAAATTATTATTCTTTAAGTAATCAAATCTTACCTGCCAACAATTAAAAAATTCAGCAAAAGACATAAGTGCTTCTGTCATTCAACACATGCCAAAAAGAAAATTAATCAAAATTTAGAATTTTAAATTTTTGAGATTTAACTATCGTAATAATATATTCAATATAATTTTATAAATAAATTTTTTTAAAACATAGTATATAAACAAATTTTTCATTGTCTTTATAAAATAGATATATTATTTTAGACAGACGCTACACACACATAAAAAAAACGGATGCACATAAAAAAAATATCTAGTGTGGTTTGAGTTTAAAAAAGGTAAGATATAAATAAATGTTAAATATATTATTTTTAGTAGACTTTTTGAATAAAAGAAATGTAATCGATACAGAAAAATGAGAAAGAAAAAGAGACATCAACATAGCTTAAAAATATATCAAGAATAAGAAAAATTGTGATATCCAAATTATAGTATTGAAAGTAAATAATATTAAAACATATTAACTCTCTTTTTTAATTCTCAACCTTCATACATATAATATCTTAATTTAATTTAAAATTTAATCTGAAATAATTGAATCGAATTAAAAAAAATTTACATCTGCCCATTTTCAAGATTCTTGAGATGAGAAATCAGACAGCATATTATAGTGCTGTGTTTTATGGTCCACAAATTATTTATTTAATTGGTTGGTGACATTATTGGGAAACAAAATTGAAAGATTTTATATTCGATCGAAAATAATTAATATAAAAAAATATACATTAACTATATGTTAAAAAAAATTGTGAATAATTAATATACTAGTTGTTTTGATAAATGATGATACGATTGTAGATAAAAGGTTACGAAAAACATAAATTAATATAAAAGATTAATAATGATAGGGAATTGTTTCACCTACTCTACCATACTAATAATATCTTATTATTTTAAACGTCCTTTAATTTAATTTATATATTTTTATTTAGTTCTTATGAAAAAAGCCCGTAAATTTTGACCTAAAAATAAACGTGTTTTGCATTCTTTTTTTTTTTAACTTCAAGTGCTAGAAGAATTATGACTTTTTTTCTCTTTAGTATCAAGTTACTTTAATTTAATGTTATCTTAATATTTCACACCTTTTAATTTACATTAATAAAGATAATTTTTAAAACGTGATTTTGATGTGACAAAAAAGGGAAATATTTTACTTTCAAAAACTTCAAGTAGGTCATTTATTTTGCGATCGTAATCAAAATCTCTTTATTGAAAAATTATATCACTAATTAAAATGAAAATTATATTTTATATATATTTTTGTAAAAGAGAATGTTAATATCAGCTCTCAAATTAAATAATTGCTTAAAATGGTGAGAGATATAACAAAATTATCAAATAAAAAAATAATTCTAGCTATACTAAATCACCTATATAACTTATTTATATTATCAATCTTGATTTAGAATTTAAAAAGAAAAAAAATTAATGATAGATAGTTATCAACGTAAAATTAATTAATTCATGATGACTTATAGATGAAATTTTGCTAAAATAGGAAGAAATTCAAAAATATGAATCAGAACTAAAATGGAAAAAATTAATAAATGCCTAACAAAAATCCCCAAAATAGTATATATATATCATATATATCAGAGAAAAATAGGAGTAAATAGTAAATTCATAATAACTTGATCAAATTAGTTACAAAAATTCCTTTTTAAAGAATCTAAAAAAAATAAATGACAAGAAATACATTTAATGTGCATTGTCTAATGAATAGTGCATATTATTCTTATATCTTGTAATAAATGATATATATTTATCATTATTTTTAATAAATGTATAACAAAAGTAATCCTAAAATTGATATACTTTTAATTTAAAAAATAAAATGCGACTTACAAATTATCTCAATCATTTTATTATTTTTTCAAACTCGACTTACAATGACTTGTGTAATAAGGGATTGAGAAAAAAATTTAAATATGTGATTGAACTTAATGAAATGAAGGATAATGTCACGTAACAGAATATAATAGTTCATACTAGATTTCGCTCGTGAAACAAATGAATAATATACGTCAGTGCAATGACATAAATACGTCCAACTACTAATAGATGGTATAGTTAAGTCATTACTAAAATTGATACATAAATAAAAAGAATCGTTATTTAGTAAATTTTATGAATAAATTTTGACTATCTAATATATTGGTACTTGTCATTCGTAGTATATTTTATAAAGTTAGTATGAAATTTCAAGATTTATCATTTTCATTTACGTAAGATAATTTTAGTCTATTTTATTTTTTTAACATCTTCATTTACCCTTTATCAACGAATTTACACTATTTTAAAAGTTTATTTTTAATTTCGCTTTTATAAGCTTACTCATATTATTGATCCCAAATTTACAGGATAAATTCAAATACCAGATGAAATTTTGCCAAATTAAAAAATTAACTAGTGTGAAAAAAAAAAGTAAAATGGTAAAAATTTAATAAATGACGTAGTAAAAATCCCAACAAAATTGTCAGAAAAAATTGGGGGAAAAACAGTAAACTCATAATAACTCAGTCAAATTAGTTACTAATTTTCTTTTTTTAGGAATTTACAAATAAAAGACTAACAAATTATAGAAATATATATGATTCATTTTCCTATCTAGTCCTTGTTCTATACATTTTATCCAATATATATAGCCAGAATTTGTGTATATCATAAAAAACACTGTATATTATATGAATATTTCTTATCATATTTGAAGAATTAAAGCAACAACATTTCAAAAATCACGAGGATGGCCATTTCAATTCCTTCTTATTTTCTTCTACTTCACATATTTGTATCACGTATGTGTCCATTTTTTCAATTTTATCGGATTATTTATTTGTTATATATAATGTCTTAAAATATTTGACACCATTTAACTAGTTAATGATGTCTTTTTTACCTCACCCTATTCAGGATCAATAGTATTCTCATTTACACGTACGTACGTTTTTTAATATTAACATTATTCATTTTTTTTTCTTTTGTGTAGTTGGCATGGGAGATAGCAATTTGACTCATTTGGAGATGGCTAGAGGAAATTTGACACAATTGGATTATAATTATAGATGTTCTGGGAATTTAGGTACATGCAACACTGACTATTGTGATGAAGATTGTTGCATTAAAACATGCAATAATTATTATAGTGAACTTAATCCAGAACCAATATGCACTGAATTTCCTGGATTTTATCCATACAAGTTTTGTATTTGTTGGCATGATTGTTATTGATATAAAATATAATATATTTTAATACAATTATATTACATTAACGATCTTATTTGTTTCATGCAAATTCACTAATTGTATCTTCTTTTATACATTTTTCTTGCTTTTTAGTCTGGTGTTTGGATATTTGTAATGGAGTGTGATTGAATTCAAATTTATGATAAAAAGTAAGTAGGACCGAATCTGAGACCTCTAGTTAAGGATAGAGGAAATATCTATAATGCGACCATAAATTTGTTTCTTAATGAGATATTACAATGATCTTACTGTTCATGAAAATGCGCTTATATTTTTTTTCTTATTTTTCGATATGATATTCGGTATTTGTATTGGAGTTTGATTGATTCCATATTCATATTGGAAAGTAGGTGACTTCATATATATCTAATGTTTTAAATTTGAAATCTTTAATTGAAGATATAGGAGTAAGCTATCATTTCATCACAAATGTAATTTTTGTTATTTAATTTTACCGATGTAAGACTTCTTATCTTAAGTTGGTGTGTCACAATTTTCTACCTAAACTATCAGTAGACATTTATCGAAAGGCAACTCAATTATCAATTATTCATAAATAAAATCCGTAAAATTTAAATTTTGAACCTCCTCTGACTTAATATTAATTTGTTGATCTCCCTAATCTAATTGGTCTAGTCCACTTGGTTTACCTATCTAGTTAACCTTAAAAGACAAAAAGAGGAAGAAAAACAAACTTGTACGTGGAAAAAAATTATCCGCATTGGATGTTTAGACCAAACTAATTTAATTTCTAATATTATGTGATTTTATGAAATAAAACATATGTTAATTAATTATAGTTGAATAAAATGAACTATAAATTTAAACACATGACATGCACGTATTGGATTGATGTAAACACTCAGTGCATGTAAGTTTTACCCGTTAATTAAAACTCATACCAGAGATGTTTACATCAATCCAATACGTACATGCCATGTATTTAAATTTATGATTCATTTTTATTTAACTCAGTAATTAGTAACTATAAACACTTAGTAGTTAGTAGGTAGAAGTTAGTGGTATGAATTCAATTTGATTCATATTATCTGACTTATTTGAATTTTTATCCCTATATAAAACCTCAAACACATTTTTATATGAATACATAATATTTAAAACGAATAATTTATGTATATCATAGATCAATAATTTTTCCTCAAGATTCATATAAATGGCTATTCTAGTTTGGTACCCAAGTTTTTGTGCCATTTTTGTTCTTATTCTTGTAACAGGTTTGTTATGTTACTCTTATGTATTTTTTTCTCCCTTTTAGGTTGTGTTTGGTATGAATGTAGTTTTTATTTTTATATTCGATTAGTTAAAATATTTTTAAAAAAAATATTTTTTTTTAGAAAAATAAGTTCTTCAACAATTAAGAAAATGACTTGTTTTATATCATATCAGTAAAAACAAGTTTTATAATTAGTAGCATTTCATATAAGTTGTTTTTATCACACTGTGGTGTTTGTTGATGATTGTTACAATGACATTGTGTGAATTGTTTTGAGTTTATCGCTCCGTCAATTATATTTATGATTTTATATTTTTATCCCTATGTTAATTTGACACGAGAATATCAGTTGTATAAAAGTGAATCACGTCTTTTTTCACATAACACAAAGAAATATTAATTTTTTTCATTAATAATTATTGTTAATGAGACTTTTAATTAGAATCTCAAACATCTATTAATTCTGATTACACCATATTAAATTGTCCAAAATACTCTCATCAAATAATTTTTATTTTTTTATTTATTTGTTAAGGAGTGCATCACACCCTCTTCCACATACAAGCTTGATCTTTTTTTTCATTATTTTTTCGCGAGCCAAACATAAAAAAATATTTTTTTCATTAAAATTATTCGAACTATTTTTATACCCTTTTTTTCTAATATTATTTTTTTTACATTGCTTAGGTGGCATGGGATATACTCCAACAAAAATGGAGAATATTATGAATGGTGGAGATGATTTAGATTATGTTTATCAATGTACAGCAAATTTAGGTCCATGTAATTATGACATTTGCCAAGATGCTTGTTGTATTAAGCTATGTAATAATTATTATAGTGGACTTCACCCTAGTCCAAAGTGTGAGGATTTGGGACCTAAATTTCAGGATAAATTTTGTATTTGTAGGCATGATTGTTATAAAAACTAATACAAATCTTATATTATATAAATAATACTTAATTTGGATATATATATATATATCCAAAGAATTGAGAATAATAGACTCGTAATTTTGATGTCGTTTATTTAATAATAATAATAAGAAGAATTGATATTGTGTGAATGTTTATATATATATATATATATATATATATATATATTA